CAATATTTGGGGGGGCATTTTGCATACAGGCACTATGATTGTTACATTATTAGTCAACTTCATGGATTTACTCTTGTCTTATATAAAGACACATGCAATAAGAATGAACAATGACAAAATTTAACAGAAAGTTGCTGGGTCATATTTTGTTTTCTTTCACACTCCTTTAAGTTGTGGGAATACAAATTGATGCAGTTCTACAAGAAAAAAAAGGAATGTGATTGTAGTTCAAACTGAAAAGACCCCAAGAAATAGTGTATTATCTCAGATTTTATTACTGATTTATCATGAAGGTTTAAGATGGCAGTTAAAATTAGACAGGATTCTACCAAAAATTGTCTGTAAAATAACAGTAATGAAAACAAGGTATTTTCCAGTTTTACTTCCTTATTAGCAAATATATATATTTAAAGTGTCTCTAGTGTAAATAAAATATAATGAAGTTGGTCTACAGTGCATAGTAAAAACTGGAAGAGGCATCAGGAGTGTCTCAACCACGGAAATTGCTCCAAAGTAAAACCTGATTTGCCAGTAAGTCAACCAAGGTAAACTGGGGTTTGCACTTTCTGCTTAGACTGCAGAGTTCTTGTTTATTTGCTTTTTAAATCTTGTATCATTTCTGTTACTTTGTAAAGCAGAAATAAAACAACATTTACCCAAACACTAAATATTAAAGGAAGACTAAAGAAAAGTTAAGTATCAGAAACTGATCTGCTAGGATCCACTGCAGAGAGCACAAACTGAAATTTCAGTTATCAGTTGAAGCAGCTTTTTGAGACTTTTAATATCTTGGTACAGTAGTAGAGCATAAAAAGCTCTACATGTATTTAAGAACATGAATTAATTTATAAAAATGCAGTCAGCACTGCTCATGTCCTATAAATAATTCAAATAAACATATAAAACAGATTGTTTCTATTCCAGTTTGTCCCCCTCCTTAATTAATTTTTGCTTCTGTTCTTACAGCAAACTCTTACTTGTTACAAATAATCAAAAAACATATTTCTTGCCAAACAACTTAACTGAATCATGATAGACTTAAAATACTGCAGAATAGAATTTTTCAGTTGTAATGCAAAATGGTATCTTTTTAAATCTCTGATAAGCCACAGCTTCATTTAAGTCTCATTTTTGGGTGAGGAAAAAGCCCAGGAAGATAAAATTCATATAGCCTTCAATTAATACAGAGAAACCATTCAGATTTAAACATCTGATTTACATTTAAAAAAAAAAAAAAAAAGATCTCCAGGGTTACTACACCATTTATGTCAATTTTTGTTTTATATATAATGTCTATATATTATTTCTCCATATATATTGATAAGAATATATACATAAAAATACTTTGAGAACTTTTAGGTGAAAAATTCCTGCAACTTCAGACCATAAGCATGCACAGCCCTACGCAATGTGTTCTGGAGAGCAATTATTCTGTCGTATATTTTTCATGTTCACGTTTTGTTTATTCTGATAAATTTTTTTCTTCTGTAAACACAGTATAAAAAATAAGTAGACTTAACTAACATTAACAAAGGCTTCACTGTTGCTTTTTGCAGTTAACTTATGGTGAAGTGGTCTACACTTGACACTGTCAAGGAGAGATCCCTGTACAGCTAAAATATTGCCCTTTAAGAGACATACACTGAAATTGTTCAGTTTTGACATCAAGAATAGGAATTATTTAACAAATGGAGATCTCCGAAAGCTTGTATTACTAACAACTTTAAACCGTAAACTTTAGAAATTCCAGCAAACTGCAGCAAAACATTCCCTAGGAATATTTCATATTGATAAGCAGCTCATAAGAATTTCTTAGCTGACAGAAAGAGTTTTATTAGAGAACAGGTTTGAAGCAAGCTGTACTAATGCATGAAATAAGACTTCAGTTGGGATGAAACTTCGGAAAGTCTTAAAAACCGGTAGATTTTTTTAGTCTTCTCTAACTATTAGTTTTGCAAGATCTTGAAGGACAGGCAAGCAATATTATATTACAGTACACAAAAGGACTTGTACACATTAAGCAATGAAACTGCTAGGAAGCCTAAAGAAATCCACAATCAAACAGTGTAGGGACCAACTGATGGAGTCTGGAAAATGAAACTGCACAAGAGAAGACAAAAGGCTTCAAGCAGAAGCCTGCACTACTGCATGACTTGTAAACTGTTCAATTTTTGACATAGTACCTACATTACATTAGGCAAAAATGGAAATATTTTCAAGGAATCAGCTAGGCCTAGGAAATGCCATAACATTGCCACTGTTTCGTCCTTAGATCAATCTGAAATATATATCTAGAGGTCTAGTTTTAGAGAAGGTGCACATTTTAACCACTCTTCATAACTCAGATATTCCGTCTAGGCACCACAGCTAATCCGTTAGTTATAACACCATGCCAAATGTAACAACTACATTCACAAGTGTAGTCCAGAACAACTAATTTTCCCCCATTCCCAACAAGTGGATACTCTAGTGCAAAGCATAAGACAGAAATGTAAAGGAGGAGGAAACCTATCACCTTCTATAACAAATATTAATTCTCCACACAACTACCAACACATTGTGGTTCTAAAACTCACTTAAAAGTCTACTTGCTGTGGGTGTCATATTAGGTACCATTTTGCAGAACATGCTGAATCATATCATGCTGCTTGGTCACATCTTTAGCATACCGAACCCATAAATGAAAATTATGACATTCTAAACTAGCAACTTATAATGGCCATAGAAACTTCTCATTATCATACAGCCATCTTGTATGACTAGAACAAACAGCAATGAGACAAATTTCACAAAGAGAAATGACTATGACTGGAAGCCACAAGCAGAAGCGAATCATCAGAAAGCCAAAACAGACTTCACCAGCTGTTTAATTCACTGGATTCCTCTTTTTCCCAGAAGTTTACAAATAATTGAACCCCAAAACAGCTTAGAGCTCCTGTCCTGCAAAAACAACTGCTGAAGAGCAGAGGATTTTTAGGGTTGGGATGCAGCTGTGCAAGGGAACCAAGCCTCATTGTTACAATCTTCTCCCAGATAGTAGCACTAAAGGCACTTTCAAATATATCACCTACACAACCTTTGAGATACAAAGCTAAAGTCTTCAGGTACTATGAACATGTTTTTCAAGTGTTTGCAAAGTTTACTGGAATTACAAAATAGAACTAAGCAAAATTTTATGTGTCTTACAACTGACTGGAAGTATGGTTTCCAAATATAAACTGTCCTATAAGGAACAGGGTTTCTTTCCAAGTGTGCACCATATCCCAGTATTAAATAAATGAGCTTATTTCTGGGGTATTCATCAATCCAGTATGAAATAGAGAGTTTCTAGTTAAAACAATTCCCAGCCATTCAGAAAGAGTGCCTGAAGAAGTCATGCAGTTTCTAATCGTTGGTGTTGCATCTTCTACTGGCAGAGTGATTACAACTGAACTTTCTAACAGAGAACAGCCTCTCACCCTTTTGCACTGAAGTGAGTGTACTGAAGTAACCTGCTGCTAAGATCTACTTACTACCTTACTCATATAAAATTATCATAATAAATCAAACCAAAGGTTATTTCACTGAAATAAGTTTTGGAATGCAACTTTCTTCTGCTTTCATGTAATTACACATTTCATAATTTAATCTTGATCTAAAATATTAAACAACTACTATTTGACTTAGAACTTGGACACTACAGTCAGACTGAAAAAGCATATATATATATATATGTCTGTGTGTGTATATAGATATAGATATATATTCAAAGGATATTAAAGCCATAAAAACCAAGAAGCTATTTTCCATTTAGCTCACTATCCCTATTTCTGTTAATGATCTTAAGTCAGGTTTAACAGACAAATATACACAATATCTAACCCAGTGATTTACAGTGGTAAGCAAGCAATCCGTGCAGCCATGAAAATTTGGAACTAGAACATAACTTTAAATACAAATATGTATTTTATACCTGTAACAGAATTTTTCTTTGAAGTAAACTGTTTTTAAACTTTAGTTCTCCAGCTAAGATAATTTAAAACAAAAATAAATTAATGAACTCAAGACAACTACATTAGTACATGCAACACTATCTTCAGGAAAACCTTAATCTTTTGCAAAAAAATCAAATTTGAGCTGTCAAATGATCACCATTGAAAGGATTTGTATGCTGCATTTTATCTTATTTGCTAGTGTACCTCAGAGTGCATTTTTAAGGACAAACTGATAAAGGTCTTAAAGATGGAGTTTTAAAATGAAATATTAACTGGCCCCTAATGATAGTGTCCTGGTTTCAGCTAGAATAGAGTTAATTTTCTTCCCAGTAGCTGGTATACTGCTGTGTTTTGGATTTAGGATGAGAATAATGTTGATAACACGCTGATGTTTTTAGTTGTTGCTAAGCAGTATTTACACTAAGTCAAGGACTTTCCAGCTTCTCACCCCACCCCACCAGCAAGTAGGCTGCGGGACACAAGGAGCTGGGAGGGGACACAGCCAGGACAGCTGGCCCCAACTGACCAAAGGGATATTCCATACCATATGACGTCATGCTTAGTATATAAACTGTGGGGAAAGCTGGCCAGAGGCCGCTGCTCAGGAACTGTCTGGGCATCAGTCAGCAAGTGGTGAGCAATTGCATTGTGCATCACTTGTTTTGTATATTCTAATTCTTTTATTATTATTATTTTACCTTCCTTTTCTGTCCTATTAAACTGCTGTACCTCAATCCACAAATTTTATTGTGGGTTGTTTTTTGTTTTGGTTTGGTTTTGGTTTTTTTTCCCCTCCCTTCTGATTCTCTCTCCAGTCCCACTGGGGGCAGGAAGAGTGAGGGTGAGGCTGTTTGGTGTTTAGCTGCCTGCCTGGTTAAACCACCACAGATAGCAATATGAATGTAACATTGTAATGAGCTCACTAGATATACAAAAATGTATTTGTTAAACTCTCAGTGCAATGAAAGCAAATTTTCTTTTTCTCTATAGAAGAAGAGCTCTTTATATAGAGACTTGATACCTTACCTCTAGGTCACAGTTGTATTCCGTGCCATCCAGCAGCACCACCTTACACTGCACAGTTTTAATTTTCTTGGGAGACTTCTGAGGAATGTTTTCTGTTTTCATTTCAGCTGTCTGCACTTCTTTTGTCTCCCTTTTTTCCTTTGCTTCTTGTTTTTCTTCCTTTTCCTCTGCAACTTTCTCTACTTCCGTTTCTTTACCATCTTCTTTGGCAGTCTATTTAAAATACAGTTAAACAATTGAAACTCAGGAAGGTGGATATTTTTAACTTTTCCATTTCTTTTATAAGCTACTAATAAATAAGACATTAAGCTTTCACTGAAGTTATGCACATACTGGAAGCTGGAGTCTGGCTCCTTTTCATTCCCTTCAGGCATTTATATACATTCATAAGATTCCCCTTAGCCCTTCTCTTCTCCAGCGTGAACAGTACCAGATCTCTCGGCCCCTCCTCATATGAAAGATTCTCTATACCCTTGCTCATTTTTGCCACCCTAGAATATGAGGTTTGAGCGTTAAGAACCGACATGCAACTTTTCAAAAAGCAAGACTATGGAGCACTGCAGAAAGTGGCATTTGGCTTGGAACTCAGCACCAACCTCCCAAAAGAATCAATAAGGACAGTGACCACAAGCATAGTTTCTAGGTAAAGGATAACAAAAATTGAGATTATAAGGACTCAGAGATAATCCACTTGTTATTTGTTGTGGTTAAGTCACTAAGGAGGTATTTGTGCGATCCAACGGCTTCAGAGACAAAGCTGACTTAAGAAGCTTCTCCTCTTATCCCTGCTCATTTCTACCACAATGATACAGTTTCAAAGTTCCTTTGAACTATTTCAAAGTGTGAGGTACGCTAAAATTAGAACAACTGGAGTAAAAAATGGTCTACCACAGAGCAGGAACCTTTAAAACCAGCTATGCTACTTGTAACTATATCAACCCAACTGCAAAAAAGGCCAAATTGTAGCTGTCATGTTTACCCCAACATGATCCTAACAAAGCTTTACATGAATTACATAATCATGAACCAGGTCTCATTAAAATTACTCCAAAGCACATCTATTAGCCTTCCCACACGTACCTGTGTTTCAGCACTACCAACAGAGTGCTTTTCTTTATCATCTGCTTTAGCATTATGCTGATATTCAGCCGCTGCCTCTTCTAAGCTCTTTTTTGGCTGAGCCACCCCCACTGGCGACTGGCCTTCACTTTCTTCAACTACTTGTTCTTCCCCTGTGGTCCTTTTCTTGGTCTCATCTTTGGGCTCTGCCAAGGTGTATGATTTTTGTTTCTTAAGCCAGGGGGGAAGGAAACGAGAAATACCCTTGCTTTCAGGTGAAGTTTTTTCTTTCTTCTGGCTACTTGGACTACTTTGGCTAGTTGGTGCCGGGACAGAGGAAGAATCTTGAGCTTCTTCAGAGGATGTTTCCCTGGACTTTTGATTTTCTGGAGCCTCTGATGCTTCTTCAGGCTTGTCCTTGGCTTTGTCTGGTCCCAGCTGCTCAGAATCTTTTTTTACTTCAGTCTCTGAGCCAACTTCAGTTGTCATTGTCACAACTTACACTACAAGAAGCAACAATAAAAATAGTTTTGTTATGTAGCATCACTACTTTTACTGACTCTTACATTATTCACAGTAATTTGTAGTAATAATCTACAAGAGTTTCTAAATTAAACTTATTGGGGTTAAAGAGATACTTATTTTCAAATTCTTGGCTCACAAGTAAAATGAGTAAGATAAAACTTAGTGCTCTGCAGATAAAGTTTTTTTTAAAAAATACTACTGTAGAGATAGATCTACCAATAGTTTCCTCTTTGATAAAAATTTAAGTGTGCTCACTGAAATGCATTTGTTTTATTATAAGATACTTCTAATGTTACTGGCCAAGATTATTTCATGAGTAACTTCAGTTCTCCGCTACTGGGCTCCTTGGTTGACTCAGAAGCTCAAATTTCAGAACAGCATCCACCTTCTGTAGTTCAACTGGTAGATACAATCCCCTTACTATTCAGTGACACTTATCAATATAACACAAGTTTTACACAGAAAGTCTTTTTAAATTGAGAAAAACTGCATGTTTCTAGTTATTCCTTTCTAGATTAAGAAAAGCCATTCTTGCCTTAAAAGGGACTCAGTTAAAATATCTATACTTTTAGACCTCATAACTCTTCCATCCTGCTTACCATCCATATCTTTTCAGCAAGCAAGCAACCAGTAGACTTACAATTGACAGTACCAGAAGACAACATTGATTTTAAATGGGAAGTCAGAACTTTAGTATTTAAGTTTTAGTTTATAGTCAAATCTGTTGTATTTAAAGTTAAAGGTGTATTTTCACAATTCCCTTATCTCAGTCCATGGTAAGCCAGTGGTGGGATAGAGGAAAATGAAAGAGTAACCTTACCAAACAACAGGAAAAAAGGATGATGAGCACGACACTGAGTATAAAATTAAAAAAAAAAAAAAAAAAAATCAGAAATTGGAAGTCAGTGATATTCTTGAAATTACTAATAATGCTAATGCTTCAAAAAAATATTAACTAGAATAAACAAATTTTTTTAGCTGTGTGGCACTGGGTTTTGCTGTGTTAATTTGAAAACATAATATAATTATTTTTTCCAATTTATTGAAGTGAGCCAACAAAAATAAGTACACCAGGGTCCAATAAACTTAGATCTCACTAGAAATCGCTGGTATTTATTTACAGCCTTCTTAAAACAATTTGTTAGAAACTGATGGTCTGTTTGTCTGGCCTGAAAGTTAGCAGGTTAGTTACAATCACATTTATAACTTTAAAACATTGGGCGAAAAAGTCAAGCAGAAGGTAATTTAGCTCAGGCTTTGTGCTGTTAACTTGCACAACACTTTAAACTGCACTTCACACCAATTGGAAACTAGCTTAGACCACAAGGCAGCAGCAACACTTTGCCTCCAGGTTTCCAAAGCACATTCATAAGTAGTCAGAAATAAAGTTAAACTAAGCCATTTCCAAGAAGAAGGAGGGAAGAGGAAGAAGGAGGAAAAAAAAAAAAAAAAGGAAGAGAGGAAAAACCTACAAAACAAAACACACCTCTTTGCTAACCCTGTAGATTTCTTTATACTCCCAGTAGTCTCTGAATGAGCTGTTAAGAGATGGATGAATTTACTGAACAAGGGGACTGACCAAGAGTGTAACGGATAGTCTTCCCAAAATATCTACCTTCTCTACCACATGAGCTTGATACATTTCTTTTTTCTAGAGTTTTGTTTTGGCACAAGAATTAGGCATCCCTTGAGAAACAGAAAATCAGGCTTATCTGTCCTTCCCCGCACTTACTGTTTCAGGGCTCTGTCAGATCCTCCAGTTTTGCAGTTCACAGGAAAAACAGAGGTAGTGGGGGACAAAACATCGGAGTTCTGCAATCAGAGCCTACTGTTGCAGGTTGTAAAGTCTCTGATCTTACCTTCACTACAGTCAAGCAAGTCAAGTAACCAGGTTACCTGGACGTGGCTTTTTCCTCATCCCCTCCTGCACCAGGGAAGACCTTGCAAGACCCCACCCAGCCCTGTGTCTTACCAGCCAACGGTGTGTCAGAAAGAAAATGGAAATAAGAAGCAGACAGCATTTGTCTCAGAAGTGAGATCGGAAAGAAATAAACCAAATTAAGTTGAAAATTTACACTTCTAAACTTTAACTGCATCTTTTCTTCCTCTCCTGTCTCCAAGTAAATTCACATTAGCTCTTACTACATAGCATAAGCACGCTAACTATTTTTGCGTCTAATTTTTTTTATGCTCTTTAACAGCAGGATAAGAGTTCTCCTTATCTCACCTCTTTTGTATTGCAAGGTAATATGAAATCCATATTTCATTTTGAAATAAGAAAGGAGAATGAGCATAAGAATCTTGCAGCAATAGTGTACTACAGAGGAGGAACCTTAGGGAGATGCTCAAATGGAAGGATTATCAAAGTCTGCGTAAAAAAAAAAAATCTTGGTAGATTTTGCAATTGGCATTAAACCCATGAGCATTAAACTACTTGTGATAACATCTGTTCCTTTTGTAATCCTCCTGAAAACTTGGCTCATGCAGATTGAATGTCTACCCAAACTGCAAGGACCAAGGTGGGGGTGGGAAGGCAAAACATATTGGAAACAGCCTCGCAATTTCGAAGAGGAATCAAGTTTGGTAGAACAGGTCCCACTTATGGGGAACAGATGTCCTGCCCTAATCATAAACTCTACCAACTTGCCCAAGCAAGGGTGCTGGCCAGGAAGCAACTGAAGCCAACAGGTATTCTGTCCATTCTCCATTCATCCTCTCCTCTCCCTTTTTATTCCACTGAGGAGAAACTAATGCTGGCCAGAGTTCACACCTGAAAGCAGGGCAGAACACTATATTCTTTCCTTACCACCCTCTTTCCTCTCAAATACACAGATTTGTCAGATATGCCAGTTCCTAGCATAAATTCTTGAAATGCAGTTGTCTGATCAAAAGGATTCCTGCTACCGTAGATAAACCAGAAACAGAAGACATATCAAGTATAACATGAAGTTTGTTCTTCTTTTTTTTAAAAAAAACGAAACAAAAACCAGTGGCTTGGCAGGAAAAGGCAATCTTAAACTTGTTTTTTCTTTTTCAGTTTGTCACTGAACTTCACAGCAAATTCAAGAAATCAAAATCACTTTGATAGTTATATCTCTACCAGTCTACTATGATTTGCAGAGAAACCATGTGTCATAGAAGAAAAAAAAATTCATCCTACTTCTATTGAAATAAATTACAACTCAGTGCACTGAAAGACTTGGGTGTCTGTGCAAGTTGTGCAATTTTATGAATCACTGCATTATTAGTAATTCTTTTTTAAAATCATTATCTTCATGAAAATCACACACTTGTACTTCCAAATATTAAAGCTCACATGAGGTATACATAAAAGAATAAAAAGAGAGCAAAGAAAATTTCTAACATCTGAAAAATATACCTGAAAACCTGAAACAAGGTCATGTGCGCTTCAACTGCTTATTTGGGAGGTTTGTTTTGTTTTGTTTTAAAGAAAGTGTTTTATTTCTTGTCATATTATTGATTTGAAGCACAGCAGAAGACTGCTCTGCATTTCACAGTTGGTTAGGGCAGGTCATTTATGAACAATATGCTTGCTGGTTTCAAGACATAAAATTTGTTGACATAAAAGCCATAAGGAAGTAAAGTCCCAACTGGAATAGTCATTCAAGTTTTAGAGGGTAAAAGGGTTTGGTTTAACCAGTAGCTAATACCTAAGGAATTTGGTACTACACCCAGAAGATTTTTCAAAAGCATAAATCAATTATTTTCTGTACAGTACAATAATTTATACTCCAAGTCAGGCTGAATGTACTAACTTAAAAAAACTTTTTCACATTTCTGTTAAATTTGAAAACTTGTACTTTATCATCAGTATGTAAAAAAGAAAATGCATGGCATCACATGAGTCTATGCAGCACACTGTTGGGCTGTATCATTTTGCTGAAGGTTCCAATATAACCTGCATATGTCCTATTAGTAGACAAAGCAAAAACTAAATCCAATTTCACCTTTTGGTCATTATTTAGGTGGATTGCTACAATTGCAAAGACATGAATGCAAAGGAATAAATTAAGAACTAAAGAACACAGTTTTCAACTTTGAGAACCTTAAGGAAGCAGAAACATCCCTAAAATTGGCTTAGTTACAATCAATCTGCAACATTTAAATTGTATGGCTGCCACTAAAATACTGATCTGCAGTCAAACATCAACTTAACAAAGCCTCAGTTCTCCGTAGGAACTTGCATCCTTCTTTGTATTTACACATACACAGGACTGTATATACATGCTGACGTAGTTTGACTACCGAATCTAACAATTTGAATTAAGTTCATTTTTAAGCACATTCCTGGAAAAAAAAAAAAAAAAAAAGATGAGTCTGAAGTCAAAGATCAACAGTTTAGGAGACCACAGAACACGTTTTAAAAAGTTACAACAGAAAACCCACAGGAAAATATGTTTTGTATGTATGAAATCTATTCACCTATTTTCAAACGATTAAGGTGATCTCTAGCAACTGACCCCAAACCTAAGTATTTACACGCTGAATGTGACAAGGACTGTTTTGGTTTGCTCCTTCCCTGATGATCACTGTGCACAAAACCCAAGGTTAACTGCAGAGGTTGAAGAGACAGACTGCAAACTCTGCTTTTTTTGCGAGTCTCGGCAGTAGCCACAGGGCAGAAGCCTGTCGGAGCCCATCGGTTTCCCACGCCGTGACAAGACCACCACAGCTGGGGCCTGAACTGATCTCATGCTGTTACAGCTCTTCTTTGTACGCTTAGAAGGTGATGCATTGATAAACAGACTACCAACAACAATCCTATGCCACATATAGCCAAAAAAATCCCAAGATTATTTCTTTTAAAGCTTCACAGTTCATGGAGGAGCCTCATGCAATAACCCAATTGACTAGACAACTGAAGCTGTGTTATGATTCAGACTTTTGCCATTATAATATCTCCTGCTAAAAATATTTATCCCAAGCATAAACCAAGTAAGAAT